TACGTACCTGGACAGTATCACTTAAGGATCCGATTCAGATGTAAAGGCAAGAATTGGCACAGCAAGAGCAATGTTAATGCAATTAAAGAATACCCTAAACTCCAAATCAAACCTTTCAAAAATAACGTTAGAACAGTTCAAATATATGGTGCCGAAAGTTAGAGAACTACCACTAACATGACCAAAACAATACAGGTTTTCATAAACAACTATCTACCAAAGAAAGCTTATATTCATCAGTCGGAGACCATCAGCAATAATCTACTGTGGCAGACCAGCTGCCGGTCGAGGAGAAAATTAAAAAGACACGAGTTGGATAAGAAATAATTTATAAAAACCATCAAATCGCACCATGGGGTAAACTCAAATTTGGAATCTTCGAGACAAAAGGGAGAGGTAGGCCAAGAAACATATAACACCGGGAAGTGGATGTGGATATTAAGATCATGAATAGAGCAATTGGATATAAGAGAACAAGATAGGGTCGGTTGGAGATTCTTGGTCGACTGTGTATAGCCTGATAGAGGCAAAAGGCCTAAAAAGATCTAAAAAAACGCTATACTAATGACGAAAGTTTCATTTTACTATTTATTAATTCATTTGCTACTCCTCAATGAGTAAAAACAAAAAATGAAATTTTTGACTTTTCACGACTTAGTTTGGATTAACATAAGTTTAAATAGTACAAAGGAATAAGGCGGAATATTTACTTAAGTCAAAATAGAACTCGTAGTCAGAAACCCTAATTTTCACTCGTTGTGATATCACAGATATATCATTAATTTATAGCCAACAATGTACCCAATGTTCAGTTTATTTTAAATTATCAATTCAAACCTTGGTAATGCTACTTCTTACTAAATTTATTTGTTCAAGCGGACTGAAATCAGTTAGTCATTGATTACGTTGATGTAGTTCAATTGCCCTTTGAATTTTGTTATTGTAATATACTTTGCTTGTTTATCAACATGTTTACTTTTGATTAATTAACACCTCTATAGGTTAAGGTCAGTTCATCTTAGTTGAATTAAACTATTCTGCAATTCTATGTTGTAATGATAAAAGGTTATCATTTCATAGGTCTGTATTTCTGTTCTAATAATCGCGATGAAAAGAAGAAAAGATGGTACAGTTCAACGTTCAGTTTATAAGAAAGACACATGGAATGGTAGTTATCTTAATTTCAATAGCTTTTGTCCAATCAGTTACAAAAAGGCACTGGTCAAAACACTGTTTTACAGAACAGAAAGAATATGTACTTCCGATACACTAGAAGAGGAAGTTATGAATGTTAAAAAATGTTTAAAGAATAACGGATACCCACTGAAATTTATTGAGAAATACGGCAAATGTGAAGTTAAAAAGCCGAAAGAAATTACAGCAAATAAAAAGCCTATTTTTATTAAACTTCAATTCAAAGGTGACGATGTCACAGGATCAATCAATATGAGACTAAAAACTGCACTGACAAGAACTTATCCTGCAGCGAAATTGATTGTCCTGTCCAAAACAACATGCTCTTTGACACAATCAAAGGTCGATAGGTATCCCTTTCATGTTACCACCAACTGTGTATACAAATTTACATGTACCTGACAAAGCAGTTACATTGGTAGAACAGAAAGGAGAGCCTACGTCCGATTCAAAGAACATATTCCGAAAAGTTTAAGGTTAAATGGATTGAACGCATTCAACAGTGCTATCGCCAGACATCTCCTTGATACAGGACATAAAGCTGATATACTGAAGTCCTTCAAGGTGATTAACAAACAATCAAACTCGAACCTTTTGAAATTCGCTGAAGCGTTAGCAATCAAACGTTTAAAACCAGATCTATGTATACAAAAAGAGACAGTAATAAATCTTTCTTTACCCTGGTAACAATAACCCCCACTCTTTCTATTAATTTGCTCCTATTTATTTAGTTATTACGTCATTAGTGCAACTCTTTCTGAAATATAAATTACATCATACATAACTGATTGATTTCAATTCATATTTTCTTTATTACCATTAATCTATTTTCATGAGTTCTAATCACTATTTCAATTTTCTGGAACTTTCCCTCTCTAACTTGATTTATTTATTCAAATCAAACATTTTATGAGCTCATTAACTCTATCTGAATCTTCTCTACATCATGATACACATGTATTGATCCTTAGTCACACTCTTATGTAGAAATATGTCAATATCTGTAATAATGTTGAATTTTAAATAATTTAGGTTGTAAGCAGCTGATGAGAACCTAACGAAATAAAATGAATTCATATTATTCTGCACCAATCTTTGTTCTTGCTCTATTTAAGATAATAAAGGGAACTATGTGTATGAAAATTAATCTACCCTGAAAAAATAAAATAAAGGTTATTAAAATAAAGAATATTGTGTACAAACTAATTCAATATCAGTAGTTTGTAATAATTAAGTGAAATCAATCGAACCATAACGATACTCAATTATGAGTGAAATGAAAAATTTATATCAGCCAAAAATTCCCTACATTACTGCTTTTTGAGTGACGTCTAAATCTTGTAATTCTATTCTTAACCAAACTGTTAGAGTCAACATTATAATAAACTTTAACTAATGACAATTTTAAGAATAAATAATCTGTTGGCACAGCAACGCTATTTTATTCAGTTATGAGTTTCATATAGTTATATTTCATGGGTTGAAGTGGACAGCATCTTATTTCATGTGTAATTTTTAAATTGATGAATTTAGTCACATTTATTTTATTCAATTAAATAGTTAGTAACAAAGAAATACACGCCATGAGTTTACAGGTGATCATCAACTTATATTCCTGGGTTACTGATGGAGATAATTCCTAAACGGTCTTAGTTTACGCAACACTTTCGAAACTAAACTACACTCAACGAATATCAATGTTGAAATTTTCGATATCTTGAAAAACTGTGATGGGATGCACAGCAAAATTTAAGATCAATTTATACTATACATATAACCATTAGTGAAACGGAACACTGTCTAGAAAGTAGAATAAAGTTTAGCAGTGTGGACCAGGAGAAAAAGGAAGTGAAACAGATGGATGCATGATTGTTATTTCTAATCTGCAAAGGTTATCTATTTTCTTCATGCTTTATGATTTACGTGATAATCTTGATGGCAAATTTATTAAATATTTGATAGTAAAGTGTTTAAATATTTGCAGACAGTGTATCTTATTCAGCTCTTTTTACATCTGGATTTCTTTTTGCTACATTTCTTCGCAATTTGTGGTAGAATAAAAACGTTAGAAGGAAAAGTAAATGGTACATGAAAGGGAGGAAACAGAAAATAGAACAAGTCAGATGAAATAACAAGGAAGAAATAATAATACACTATAATTTAAAGAAGGAAAGAGGAGGGTGAACAAATCAGCTAAGGTGGGTAAGTGGAAGCTAGATGTTTTTTAATTAGTAACTGAATATCACCCAATGAGTTAAAAAAGTGATCTGAACTGTGATTTAGCTGACAGACTTACATTGAATCAAAACTAAAGTTACACAGAAGTAAAGTTGCTCGAGTTTATCTGATTCTTAATTGAAGATATGCGCGACTGACTAACGTATTATTCTTATTATTTAACCATCAGTTGTGTGATTATCACACACTTTTTCATTTTAGTCGAAATTACGGTTGATAAATCACGAGTTTCTGTTTACAAACGTCCAACTAATGTTATTCAAGAAAGAGAATTCCAACCAGTTTGATTTTTGAAAACCCACCTGTTTATGACAAGGCCGTTTGGACATTCTGATTATCCGACAGTAATAGAGAATCAATTACAAATGCATAACTAAGACAGTTAATCAAGAGAGCTGAATGATAGACATGGACCTAACCAACTGCTACATTGGATTTGTATAAGATATAAAGAATTAGAAGAAAGCTTACAATTACAGTTACAACATAATCTTTTATAAAACAGTTGTTTATTCAATGTTCTTATGAAACGCTTGAATTGGTAATAGTTGACTTAATGAGTCCATTTAAGCTAGACCAAGATTGAAAAGCTGGAAGCTTTGGGTGACCGTTCCGTTCTAGTATGGGACTCCTCAGCAGTGAACATCCACGATCGCACACGTGGCAGTCGAACCCATCACCTTCTGTCTCACATGCCAACGCTTAACACCTGCACCACTGAGTCGGCATCCAACCATCTTAATGTCTAACTTCAACCAATCCACTATATTGCACGACCGTTCATCATTGTCTTCAGTGAGTAACTGCCTCATAACAGACACGGTCGAGCTCCACTGGTCACGGCTTCTCACTAGAACTCCGGGAAATACCTCTTGAAACCAGTCACTAGTGTGCACGTGATGATTATTATCGCATTCGTGCGCGAGACCGAAGATCCTGGGTTCGAGTCCCATATTAGGGGTTGTGGATGCGCACTATTGAGTAGTCCCATTCTAGATTCAAAAAGCAGTGTGGTGCTTCCAGGTTCCCATGGTGGTCTAGTTCTAATCGACTCATGAATTCAAATATTAAATTATTACAATCTCCACAAAACCTCCATTCTGATTACTTGTATTCAGATTCATAAATGTTGGCCTAAAATTAAGTTTCAGAAATGAATCAATTTCAGATTTTTCTAACATAATAGAAAGCATTTTGATAGTGGCTAATGGAAGAGTTTGTATGTACATTACATCCCGTTTATGATGAGCTCGAATTTACTTACATGTGCCCATTAACTTTACTTCCTCAAGATTATTGAGCTGATTTGGTGAGTTGAGTTTAAAAACATGTTAGCTCAGTCATATTAAACAAACCAACGGAATAAGATGACTGTTATGTCATTTAATTTATTTTAATCGGGAACACCATCTTCACTCTCATGTCGTGTTTTAGTTTACTTCATGAAAATACTTTGTAATTTAAATAACTTCCATGGTTCATTGCCATATAGTTAATCAAATACAACTTAAAACAAAAAGTATTCCACTTTTAGAACAATTTGAAAGTAGTTGCTACTAATAACTTACTAATCCAAGTAAGATTTTACTCTTGCAGCATACTCCACATATTCCACAGAGCGACAATACGCAAATGAAGAGACCGAACAAGAAAATTGCCAAACCATAAGAAGCTGGTTATAATAATTAAGGAAATAACATAGGAAAAGAAGCCGTTAACGTGTTTAAATATTTATGCATCAATAAAATGTCTGACATTTCATCTTATATAACATACCAAAAAGTGTCATATTCATCACCGACAATTAGCAAGAATCTGTTTAACAACCCAACTCTATGTGGGAATTACAGTATCAGTAAACTTATGTTTTAGAAATCAATATCGATTTGTAGTAAATCCTTTCTTCAGTCATACCTTGGAAAGCTTTGGAAGTGATAAAAGTCAATTGCTCCAAAGTCGCTTATTTATATAAAGAAATTATCATTTTGTATTCACTGAATACCATCAGAGAGAGAGGTTGGGGATATTACTAACTGGGTCTATAGCTCAATATCTGTGAAATTGTACACATCCACATATCAATGGAGGTCTGAAATGTATACTATTAATTATTTTCCGAATAAAATGTAACTGATTTGCTATTTGAAGTATTACTTCGACCCGTGTTGTTTTAAAATAAAACTTCTGGAATAGAAAATACTTACCAAATAACGTTATTCTTTCTTCTACTAATTTTTGAGCAGCTTCACGTGCATTCTCATCATCTATCTCTTCGATAATCGTAGGAGTAATTCGTTCAACCAAAAGTTTTTCATTCCATCGTATTAAAGCACCAAAAACCACAAGTCCTAAACCAATAATCTATTAAAAATCCATAAGAAAGTGTCTCAACAGTTGAAGTAAAATTTAAACTTAGAACTCGAAAACGTAACAGAGAATACTGAATGACAATATTGGTTATAGGAAGATTGATCGTTACGCTAATTAACAAAAATAACTCCATCGCAGTAAAGATTAGAAACTTATAAATAGATTTTTACCTTAATAATATTTTACTGTATGTATCTATACATTTCCTATGAGTAATGTCTCTCTCAAGTACGATGTAGTTTAAGCAGAAGTGTAGCTCTAACCAAAATCTCCAGTTCATTAACAAGATACCATTATCACATAGTCAAAGTTTATTTTTAACTAAAAAAATCATTTTAGGTCAGCTCAACAAAACGATAAGAAGACTATTCTTAGAGAAGCACCAACACTTATGTACATAAATAAAATACATGAGCGCAGTTTTCTACTACATAACAGCCTACCGTTTGTAACATACAAACTATTTTAAATTTTGGCATAGAGCAGATGGAATGTGGCTAGATGTAGAATCCGGGATGCGTGTTTCCTTTCATTTAGGACTCGTCAGCCAGTGTGCCTGGATCCTAGGGTTAGTGTTCACTACAAGAATCAAACCCAGGATCGTTCACTTTAAACATTATCGCGTTGCCCACTTAGCTACTGAGTTCACATAACCACTCACTAATGCAACAAATGAGTATTAATTAAATTTGAAATGGATTGGATTATTTCATTGTTGATATTTTTAACTGAAAGTTAATCAGTTTTTGGCCAGTCAGAAATATTAACAACAAGATAATCCAATCCATTTCAAATTTAATTATTCTAAACTTATTCCGATAGCCATCTTATGAATTATATTAATATGCAGACTGTCTAACTTGAACCTTAAAATAACATATAATTAGCAAGTTTTTGCTTTACCTTACTGTGGTGTAAAAACAATAGTTGATGGACTTAGTTTTGCAATTAAAAGATTAGATATTTATTTATGTTAATAAACAACAATCAGTAATTGTTTAACTTGCTTTTCAAATCAGGTAATCATGATCATTTTTCTAAAAGAAAAACACCTGGGAAACTATGTAAATATTTAATAGATAGGAATGTTTTGTTGTTTTTATGTTAGCAAAAAACAGAACAAAATATACCAGTGAACAGTAACACATTGGAAAACAAATTGCTCTGTTTTTTTAAAAAAAAATATTTAGTGATCTGTTTATCTCATGTACAGAGGAATAGAATAATGTTTTGGCAAGAATACCACAGTTATTTTCCTAAATAATTACGCTTCAACTAAGTATGGGAATTTCATTAGGAACTGAACTGGGTATCTCTTAAAATATCCCAAAAATGTTTTTTTTCTTCAGGTGGATATCTTTTTAAAAAAAAATCAAACCAATTCAACTTCTAAGCTTTATTAGTGACCGTGGGTATAGAGGGACTTCAGATATTAAGACAAAAGTCTGGTATAGGAGTGAAGTATTTTTAGATAAATGGAAATCTCTTACTTCGAAAACAATCTTTTTTGTTTGACTGTAGATTAGCACTGATAAAGATTTTCAAAATATCGTGAAATATATATCTGGTTCCCTATGGTTTCCAATCACTACCTACTGAATATACGTTCTGGATAAAAGTTATCCATAAATTGAAGAAGTTACCTAAGTAAATCTTCTTTGCTTTTAAGATACTTCCACTTAGTACTAAGATCAATTAAATCTCAGGAGTATAAGTCACACTTTTGAGTACTCGTTAGTTATGTCTTACTAGTGAGATTCCAATTTAAAACAAATTGCTTCAAACGTCAAGCGGTTATCTATCATGCCAGTGAGTAGTGAAAGATCACTTGTTTAGTGAATATTAATCACATGTCGTGGATAAAATAATATCGATATGATTTCGACAAACGAAAAAATTGTACAAGGACCCTATATGCTACAACAGATCAATTAACTCATCCATGAATATCAATAATGGGGAAGTATAAACTTTTACGATTCATGATATTTAGTTACTGACTTATTTTATAACTAGTGTGATGGAGTCAATCGGATATCGGAAATTGTTGCTTAAATGAATCTCGAACTCAAGAAATTGTATTCATAATTTAATTTCAACGATATATTTGATTGATCAATTAATAATTATATAATTCATACAGTAATATAGTCAAGTACATCATACATATCGTTGTGGATTAGTGGTTACAAATAAACACCACATGACTAGTGGATAATGTAGTTCATTTCATCGAATGAATACAAACTGGACAGATCCATTCAGGATCATCAGTCTTAAAAAAGTCAAGTGTATTTACCCTTCGACGATTTTGAGGTATAAGAACTCGCCTACCTCAAATGTTAAAGAATTATTACTTTCGCTACTACTCAAATTAATAAGGACTTCAAAATATAATTACTAAATCAACGGTGACATAAGTGTTATACGGGTAGTTTTCGTAGTTTTTTTAGCTTCTTAGTTACCCTACTATGTTAAACCTCACAGTCAAAGTTTTTAGCTACTTCTCATTTAATTCTTTTTCACTCCACTTATAGTTAGTAGTATATTTGGAGAATTATTATCTTTGCTTATGTTGAAATCAAGATGTACACATGAGCAAAAAATCTAAGTACTTGTAACAGTATGATGAAAACTTCTCAACTTAATCTATCTCTGTATTTAGAGAGATCTCCAATCAAAAATAAATGAAATAGTTTTGATTACTAATCAAAAACAAGTTTTTATTGCTGAATTTTACCTTCAGTATTAAGCTAGATAAATAAAAAACAAACATTCAATTCACTCTTCTTACCACTCTTAATGAAGTAAAAATAGGCCTTAATCGTTCGATTACTCAGAGAGTTAATTGTTAGCCTGCAAGTCATTCGTTTAAACTCAGAGAATACCCAAGTACTTTATCAGTTTTATTAGTCGTCTTAAATTACACTGAAAGCCACAATTCCTACATATTGTGACACCCTTTCATACCAATCACTATGATACAGAACCAAATAGCCTTTATATTACATTGTTTAAAGTTTAATAGTATCCTAATACTCATATCATTCAAGTGTATTTAGGTTTGTTTAAAACATATGTGCTAACGAATCTTTCGGCTTTTATACCTTGGAAGAACGACAACTTACGATGAACGAAAATAAATTCTCAAATATTCTAAGATTTACAATGTCAGACAAATCAATAATCCAAATATAATCGGACAGTATAGTTGCGTAGCTTCGAATGAACCCAAATACAAATGTGGCTACATCACAGCTGCTGGTAGTTCAAATCAGATATCAAAAAGCCTTAGTATTAAAACCGGAGTCCACTATCAGTAGTGATATTTGTGTTAGTTTTGAATTTGTACAAAGGTATTTTTCTTGTTATCCAATCAGAAATGTCATTGTAACATCCTTCGTAAACTTAAAAAAACCTTTCCATTTACATGATTGGACAACTTAAGGTGCTTTTGGCCGAACTTACTGGTAAGAAAAAATATCGGCTTGCTGCACATTTCTAGTCATTAATTAAAATAGAAGGGAAGCTCTACTTATCAGCTTTCGTCATCTAATGATGAATGTGGGACCGGGTACAAATATGTATCAGCTAGTCTTATTGAACTTCACACTAAAACAAATTCAATCAGATAAATAAATAAAGGGGCTGAATTCATATGATTAATCAAGAAATCGAAAAGAACAAGTGAAAATGGACGAATTCAGTAATGCTTAACGATAAAACAAAATGAATATGTTCTCCTGGATTACAAGAAGTGTATTAAATCAGTTTATCCATCACAAGAAAAATATAGTTACTTCAAAAATGTTCTCTTGAATGCAATTTTCTGGCCTAGCTAATTATTTTACTTATAATTATCGTGTTCATGATGTACTGAACTGTTCTTGATAGTGGAATTGTACAATGCTGAAATCCAGTTTGCACGATTTACCAATAATCATAGAGTTAAAATATACTATCAGCATCAAATAGATGGCCGTGTTTGAAGGCTTAACTAGAATTTTGCTTCACTAGGTTAATCATATACAGGGGCAAATATTTGAAAATCATGATCATACTGACAACTATGCTTTGCGTTTTATGATTGTATGCTGATATTGGAATAATCTTAGCACAGAAAGCCGTTGTCCACCTCATGAAGACTGGACGATTAAACTCTAATTTAAAGCATAGGGACAAAGTCCTCAACATTTGATAAGCCAGTTTGTCTGGTAATTTCAATTCAGGTTGAAAAGTTAGTCCTAGTTAGTTACCACTCTATACTTTTAAACATTAATTAAATGGTTTCAATTAAGACCTATTAAACCAACTTTTCATCAGATTGTGATGATTAGAAAACTCAACTAACTATAGTTACTTATGAACGTTATTCAGTAATTTTACGTTGACAGAATAAAATGAGATATTAATTAAACAACACATGTAAATCAACAGTTCAAAAAAGGAAGCATACCACAAGTGGGATGTTGAACAGTACTAAAATTGTACTCGAGATTACTTTACACATCCTGACAAACTATAAAGTACTTCAAACAAATCCGACCGCTACTTTCTGTATAGCCTGACGAAATAATGGTGTTTTGAAAAGTGATTTCTGTTATGTTCTCGTCATGAACACAACATCCGTGAATCCAGTTTCTCGAGCCAATCAGAAAAAGAAGGGTGACAAGACTTATGATTTGCTACACAAAATCTAGATGGGCAGTTTACAGATTGGCCAAATGTGATTGACCAATTGGACAACTACATTCATATTGATTCGTAATTTGCATGTGATAGACTTTCGTGTGATGGATTTGCCATTCTGTTGTTTTACGGATGATACAATTAAGTGGGAATGAGTGACTGTAATGATTATTACTGTCATTACTTTTATAACAGATTAGGAACGAAAGTTAGTACATGATAATAAGAACATGATAGTAGATATGATATTAACAAAAAGACCAGAAATTAAGTTACAGTAACTTTCGAAATCGCTAGTCCTTTTGTAGGATTAGTTAGATAATGGGACACTTGCAAGTTTATGTACTAAATCGGAGCCCCATTCAGGGTGAAGGCCTATATTCAGCCGGAGAATAAGATCATACGTTATGCTTCTACAATAAAATATCCTTGTCGCTTTGTATGAAGGGCGATTTCCTGGCACGGGGGTTATATGCGAAGTTTGGCTAGACAAACATACCTTATGTATTTGTCTTCTGATGAAAGGGAATTATACGCAGCTTATATTTGTCTTGAAATCTGTTCCTATCCCTCAGTCATTTGAATTTAGGGCGACAGCTTGTAAAGAAACGATATTGGCCTAGGTTTTCTTTCAGCCACAATCACCATCTTCCCATTGATTTTGCGCTTAGTTTAACGGTGATATCCAATTCTACACTTAGTTTTAAGGGGTAAATTAGTAATACACTGATGGTGTTTTAGAATACAATTAAATATCCTTTCATAATTCCATACTTGTGTACAAGGTTGGTCCTATTGTCATATTAATCAATAGCGTTAATTTGTGTAACCTTGGACGTTTAGTTAAGCTCTTAGGGATTGTGCAATTTATGTTTTTCTTGTCTTCGAGTGTGTTGGTTGAGAACATTGCAGACAGTCCTTTTACCCTTTGGACACCAAACTGTTGTTTATTTTTGTTAATTTCTAAAGTGTACTTGGGAAAAAGTATCTCACAAACCTTTATATTTCGACGTCTGATTTCAAGCTTTTAATGACAGTTTGTTTAACAGTGACTTTGGTTCGGTAATAAATACGAAATAATCACTTGCTTTTAGAGTCCTATCTGATTAATGTGCCTCTATGCATGAAGTGCTACCATTGATTGGATTCTGTCAAATGGGTTTAGAATATAATTACTAAGATAAGTAATTCGAATATACGATTGGCTGTATCTAATTTTGAGTAGTTATGGGCAATCAGCTAAGTGATATTCAACTAAGTCACACATTCTATATGCGAACATCTTCAAAAACTATCAAGTGCAGTTTAACAAAATATATCATCGTCAGATGCTATTTATAATCAATTTGTGTAGTAACTTCGTATAAATAATAACTGAAAGAAGCACTTTTATTCATAATGACAACTACGCTTTCAGTTTTACGATTGTATGCTGAGATTGGAATAATCTTAACAAATCATTCATTAAGCTTTCTGTAAAACTTTTTTAAAACGTGATGGCGGAAAGGTTTTCCACTCAGTTTTAGCCGAGTGCTTTTGTTTATTGACTGACAGTGGTGCCTGTTATGCACATAGGCTCTTCATTTACTTGCTTTTTACATTACTTACTTAATTACGCCTGTTACTCTTAATGGAGCATAGGCCGCCGACCAGCATTCCCTAACCCACTCTGTCCTGGGCCTTCTTTTCTAGTTCCATCCAATTCTTGTTCATTTTTCTCATGTCTATCTCCATTTCTCGGCGTAATGTGTTCTTTGGTCGTCCTCTTTCCCTTTGGCCTTGAAGATTCCATGTGGGGGCTTGTCTTGTGACGCAGTTGGGTGCTCTCCTCAATGTGTGTCCTATCCACTTCCAGCGCTTCTTCCTAATTTCTTCCTCCGTTGGGATCTGGTTTGTTCTTTCCCACAGTTGGTTGTTGTATACGTTACGTGAATTGTCTCAAACGACCTTGTACAACTCGTTGGGAATCTGGTGTCCAGTGAAATGTATCTGTACCAGGGAAAAGACACATATATGTTAAGTTTCAGAATTAACTACTTCTATGAATTCCATATTCATCTTGCTGTGCTAATAAGGTATGGCAACTTGGACCGATGCATATATGTGCCTGGTCCTACGTTGTAGCTGACTGACTGACTGAATGTTAAGTTTCTGTTGAATTAAAGCAGTTTCCTTAAGGATGTTTGCGAATGAATGGTAAGTATGCCTTATCAACATAGAAGAAACGGTCACTAATTTAGGGTTATACCCGCTAACTGTGGTACATAGCCTGTATTTTGTAGCTCTTCCTTACTTGAAACAACGACTTTACTCATTTCAGTTTTTATGAAACTTATAGAAATTATGTTTTTAAATAATTACAGCTTGTCTGCTTATTTATTTTTCTGAGTTTTTCTTTATTCAATAACGATTACAATTGTGATTCTAATCATGCAGCATCCAAAACATGAATTGCTTTCCAGCTTTTGATAATATGGTTTTTTGTTTTCCTCATTTTTAGACCAGTTCCTGCTATCTTGTTTCATCTATTAATAAAAGAACTTTATTTTCTATGATCTGTAGCAGTACTGATTATAATTAATTTTAGGAAACTGTCTGAAAGTATTCAGCCTGTCGTTTACATATTTTATTTTAATGTAATGTTTGTTGTTCAAAACGACGTCTTTCAGAACTTCGTCTTTTAGGTTTATAATGCTTGTAGACTCACCTATGAAAAATCTTTCATATTCCTTTTAAAGTAGACATTTGATTGGACAGTATTTTCCAATAGTACTCCTTGTGATCTAGCAAATTTATTATCAAAATGAGGAAGGCGTAGTTTCATAAGCGTTGCTTATACTAAACTTGAATTCTTTCCGATCCCTTTGATACACTAAACAGGTGAAGGATGAATTCCCAAGTTACACGATGTTCCAAGATAGTTTAGTAAACCGAATGTTAGCCTAGCCAGTCTATAATAAACAGCTGAGTTATTTACTCAGCTAAGGCCACCTATCCACGCGTTCACCGTATAAATCATTCTGACTAACTAAAAAATATTGTCATGTAGGGGACAAACAGATTGCTTTTTTGGGTTTTATTGGGTCTTGTGTGGTCGGGTCTTAGTAATGAGAAAGCTGTTATCTAATCTCTCGCTTGTTTGATCATCGAACCGTTCACATACATTACCAGTAAAACAGGTGACCTATTTGCCAACTGACATACAGACCAATGAGCAACAACTAAGACTTTATTGCTTATTGGTCCTCCAACTCATAAACCAGTGGTCAACCAAAAGATAAATGTAAAGAGTAAATCACCTCTTTATTATGCTCAATTAAATCATGACTGACAACTCACACAACAATGTACTGGATATGTTTGACTACACAGTAACACAATTAAGGAATCATAATGTATCTCTTAGCTTAGACATAAGTGATACAACACAAGATTGATATGGAAATAGTCAACTAATGATAAACCTGGGATAATGATTTATGGATAAAATGAAAGTTTAGAAATCAGAGGACATAGAAATGCAACAAGACAATTATTTACCAGTTATATAATAACATAAATAGTAAACATGCTCATAATAGTCTCAACAGTTATGCATCCGCACTACCCGTCCCATTATATCGTATTCACTACCTATTAGTATCATTCATTCGATAAATAAGGCTTTCTATGAAGCCTGTTTTATACTTCTAGATGACTACCGTAGTCAATTGTTGAGATTTCTCGCTAGTAATTAAATTATATTCTATAAAAGTTCTATCAACTTGTTATGGGTTTGTTAAAAACAGCAAAACCAATTTTTCTCAGACAATATTTCAAATTCAGTTTAGTTGACAGATCCAGCCCATCTCCATAATCAACGAGGATTGAAGTGTCATTTATAAAGACAGATTAATGATTAACAACACTTTATTAAATTTGATTCCATAAAATGTGACAGGATAGATGACTTTCTTAAAATATTTTCAACCAAATTTAATTTAGATGAATTTGTTGTCACAAACATTTATGAAAAGTGTGCGAATAACATACATACGTCGAAACACAGTATATTAAATCAACTGTTCGTTCCCATCAGTAACTCGCTCTTTTCGATAACATTGTGCAATTTTTCAATCCATTTATTTTGGTTTATTGGGGAATATGTTTTCGCGTTATATATATATATATATATATATATATATATATATATATTGCGGCCCTGTTATCACATCAAAATCATGAATGCCATGAGCATTACTATTAGATACTGTTGTTACACAAATCACTTATTACTAATAGCTATTTCTTTACTTACGCCTGTTATTCCTTGTGAAGCATAGATCCCCGATAAGGAAGCCCTAACCTAACCACAAGTGATTGATCACTGGGTGGTCCAGGGTTTCTTGTTGACTACCTCCAACCACCATCTAAGCCCTAACCTACTGTGTCTTGGGCTCACTCTTCCATATATCGCCATTTGTTATTCATCCTTATGATGTCTGCCTCCAATTCCCTATCCAATGTGTTTCCTGGCCTCTTTCCCTTTTGCCTTAAGGATTCCAAGTCATGGCATACTTTATGACGCAGTTTGATGATTTCCAAAATGTGTGTCTTATTAACCTCCAATGTTTTTTCCCAGTTTCTTCCACAACTGGAAGCCGATTTCTTCTCTGACACAGAAGTCGTTGCTGATTGTTTGTGGTCAACGGATTCGAAGTATCTTGAGTAGACTTTGTTTATAAATACCTTTACCTTTTTGATAATGGTTGTATTAATTCTCCAGGTTTCAGTTTGTACTAAAAATTCTGACTCTGGTGGTGTCTAATGTTTCTTTAACTTCATCCTCAAATTAGCCACCAACAGGCAGTAGCCTGAACCTAGATCAGCTCCTCTCCTTGTCCTCTGGTCTTCCACAGATTGTCTGAATTTTTCATTGATGCAAATATGATCGATGTTGTTCTCTGGAGTGCGGTC